GACTGGCTCCCTTTTCAGTGGCAGGGTGCCCAGGTCTGCATACACACCTCCCAGCGCAGGCTTGGCCCCTGAGCTGCTCGGGCTAGGGGCCACGCTGCCTGGCAACGACCACCAAGAACAGAGGCCCAGGCAGCAGCACCTCTCCCCGGTTCCAGTTGTTAGGTATACGAGCCAGCCATGCATGCCCAGGAAGTGACAGGGAGCAGGGCGGGGAGGGGAGGGGAGGGGACTGCCAAATTCAGGGCTTCAGTTCACAGGAAACCACAGACACAGATCCTTGGTGGCCGGGTTAGGGACGAGGGGCAGTGGCAGGATGCCAGGGGTGGGGGGGAATAAAGGAGCTGGGTGCTACTTACTGTTGGAGACAGCAGAGGGAAGACCATGTTGGAAATGTCTCCCAAAGGGTCCTTGGGGGGCAATGACACCCTGCCCCGCTAGCAGATGATGCCAGAAGGCTGAGGAGAATTGCCCCCGATTTGGGTTGCCCTCCTTCTCTCCACCTGCTGCCCCCAGGATCAGCGAAGTGAAGCCCAAATACTATGCAGATGGGGAAGACGCATATGCGATGAAGCGGGATCTCACCCAGATGGCTGATGAGGTAAGAGTCCTGCAGGTAAGAGTCCTGCGGGGCCAGGGCCGCGGTCCCCAGGCAAGGCGAGCAGGGGCGGCCTGGGGCAGTTGGAGGCTGCGTCGCCAGGAGTCCTGGCCCTCCTCACCTTAGCTTACGTAGCTGGCAGGCGGGGAGCCGGACCTTGGCAGGGCCTTAACGAAGGCCATCGGCCCAAGATTCCATTCTCCGAGGAAGAAGCCTGTCCTGCCCAGAGGCTGCTGTGAGAGGAGAGGGAGGAGGCCCCTAGACGTGCTGAGAGACGCGGGGCCTGGGGATGGCTGTGGCTGGCCTCCAAGGCTCAGGGGTCAGACAGAACCGGGCTGAAGAGAAGTCAGGGTTTTGCCCAAGGCTCCTCAGGGGCCAGGGCCGTTCAGAGGGCTCCATGGCAGCCTCGTGAGGGAGCTGTGATCACCTCCACTTTACAGGAGAGGAAACAGGCCCAGAGGCCTGTTTAGGTCTTCTGTCCATTTTTGGATTGGTTTGTTTGTTTTTTTGTTGTTGAGCTGCATGAGCTGCTTGTAAATTTTGGAGATGAATCCTTTGTCAGTTGCTTCATTTGCAAATATTTTCTCCCATTCTGAGAGTTGCCTTTTCGTCTTGTTTATGGTTTCCTTTGCTGTGCAAAAGCTTTGAATACATGTTTGTGTGTATATGTCCCATTTGTTTATTTTTGTTTTTATTTCCCCTTTGTTTATTTTTGTTTTTATTTCCATTACTCTAGAAGGTGGATCAAAAACGATCTTGCTGTGATTTATGTCAAGGAGTGTTTTTCCTATGTTTTCCTCTAAGAGTTTTATAGTGTACGGTCTTACATTTAGGTCTTTAATCCATTTTGAGTTTATTTTTGTGTATGGTGTTAGGGAGTGTTCTAATTTCATTCTTTTACATGTAGCTGTCCAGTTTTCCCAGCACCACTTATTGAAGAGGCTGTCTTTTCCCCATTGTATATCCTTGCCTCCTTTGTCATAGATTAGTTGACCATAGGTGCATGGGTTTACCTCTGGGCTTTCTATCCTGTTCCATTGATCTATATTTCTGTTTTTGTGCCAGTCCATATTGTCTTGATGACTGTAGCTTTGTAGTATAGTCTGAAGTCAGGGAATCTGATTCCTCCAGCTCCGTTTTTTTCCCTCAAGACTGCTTTGGCTATTTGGGGTCTTTTGTGTCTCCATACAAATTTTAAGATTTTTTGTTCTAGTTCTGTGAAAAATGCCATTGGTAATTTGATAGCGATTACATTGAATCTGTAGATTGCTTTGGGTAATATAGTCATTTTCACAATGTTGATTCTTCCAATCCAAGAACATGGTATATCTCTCCATCCGTTGGTATCATCTTTAATTTCTTTCATCAGTGTCTTATAGTTTTCTGCATACAGGTCTTTTGTCTCCATACGTAGGTTTATTCCTAGGTATTTTATTCTTTTTGTTGCAGTGGTAAATGGGAGTGTTTCCTTAATTTCTCTTTCAGATTTTTCATCATTAGTGTATAGGAATGCAAGAGATTTCTGTGCATTAATTCTGTATCCTGCAACTTTACCAAATTCATTGATTAGCTCTAGTAGTTTTCTGGTGGCATATTTAGGGTACTCTATATATAGTAGCATGTCATCTGCAAACAGTGACAGTTTTACCTCTTCTTTTCCAATTGTATTGCTTTTATTTCTTTTTCTTCTCTGATTGCCATGGCTCGGACTTCCAAAACTATTTTGAATAATAGTGGTGAGAGTGGACATCCTTGTCTTGTTCCTAATCTTAGAGAAAATGCTTTCAGTTTTTCACCATTGAGAATGATGTTTGCTGTGGGTTTGTCATATATGACCTTTATTATGTTGAGGTAGGTTCCCTCTATGCCCACTTTCTGGAGAGTTTTTATCATAAATGGGTGTTGAATTTTGTCAAAAGCTTTTTCTGCATCTATTGAGATGATCATATGGTTTTTGTTCTTCAATTTGTTAATATGGTGTATCACATTGATTGATTTGTGTATATTGAAGAATCCTTGCATCTGTGGGATAAATCCCACTTGATCATGCTGTATGATCCTTTTAATGTGCTGTTGGATTCTGTTTACTAGTATTTTGTTGAGGATTTTTGCATCTATATTCATGAGTGATATTGGTCTGTAATTTTCTTTTATTGTAGTATCTTTGTCTGGTCTTGGTATCAGGGTGATGGTGGCCTCATAGAATGATTTGGGAGTGTTCCCTCCTCTGCAATTTTTTGGAAGAGTTTGAGAAGGATGGGTGTTAGCTCTTCTCTAAATGTTTGATAGGATTCACCTGTGAAGTCATCTGGTCCTGGGCTTTTGTTTGTTGGAAGATTTTTAACCACAGCTTCAATTTCATTTCTTGTGATTGGTCTGTTCATATTTTCTGTTTCTTCCTGGTTCAGTCTTGGAAGGTTATACCTTTCTAAGAATTTGTCCATTTCTTCCACGTTGTCCATTTTATTGGCGTAGAGTTGCTTGTAGTAGTCTCTTAGGAGGCTTTGTATTTCTGCAGTGTCTGTTGTATCCTCCTTTTTCATTTCTAATTTTATTGATTTGAGCCCTCTTCCTCTTTTTCTTGATGAGTTTGGTTAATGGTTTATCAATTTTGTTTATCTTCTCAAAGAACCAGCTTTTAGTTTTATTGATCTTTGCTATTGTTTTCTTTGTTTCTATTTCATTTATTTCTGCTCTGATCTTTATGATTTCTTTCCTTCTGCTAATTTTGGTTTTGTTTGTTCTTCTTTCTCTAGTTCCTTTAGGTATAACGTTAGATTGTTGATTTGAGATTTTTCTTGTTTCTTGCGGTAGGCTTGTATAAATAAAAACTTCCCTCTTAGAACTGCTTTTGCTGCATCTGATAGGTTTTGGATCGTCGTGTTTTCATTGTCGTTTGTCTCTAGGTATTTTTTGATTTCCTCTCTGATTTATTCAGTGATTTCTTGGTTATTTAGTAACGTATTGTTTAGCCTCCATGTGTTTGTGTTTTTTACATTTTTTTCTCTGTAATTGATTTCTAATCTCATAGCGCTGTGGTCAGAAAAGATGCTTGATATGATTTCAATTTTCTTAAATTTACTGAGGCTAGATCTGTGACCCAGTATGTGATCTATCCTGGGCAATGTTATGTGCGCACTTGAGAAGAAAGTGTAATCTGCTGTTTTTGGATGGAAGGTCCTATAAATATCAATTAAATCTATCTGGTCTATTGTGTCATTTAAAGTTTGTGTTTCCTTATTAGTTTTCTGTTTGGATGATCTGTCCAGTGGTGTAAGTGAGGTGTTAAAGTCCCCACTATTATTGTGTTACTGTCGATTTCCTCTTTTATAGCTGTTAGCAGTTGCCTTATGTATTAAGGTGCTCCTATGTTGGGGGCATATATATTTATAATTGTTATGTTATATCTTCTTCTTGGATCGATCCCTTGATCATTATGTAGTGTCCTTCCTTGTCTCTTTTAACGTTCTCTATTTTAAAGTCTATTTTATCTGATATGAGTATTGCTACTCCAGCTTTCTTTTGATTTCCATTTGCATGGAATATCTTTTTTCATCCCCTCACTTTCAGTCTGTATGTGTCCCTAGGTCTGAAGTGGGTCTCTTGTGGACAGCATATATATGGGTCTTGTTTTTATATCCATTGAGCAAGCCTGTGTCTTTTGGTTGGATCATTTAATCCATTCACTTTTAAGGTAATTATTGATATGTATGTTCTTTTTACCATTTTCTTAATTGTTATGGTTTTGTTTTTGTAGGTCCTTTTCTTTTCTTGTGTTTCCTACTTAAAGAAGTTCCTTTAGCATTTGTTGTAGAGCTGATTTGGTGGTGCTGAATTCTCTTAGCTTTTGCTTGTCTGTAAAGCTTTTGATTTCTCCATCGAATCTGAATGAGATCCTTGCTGGGTAGAGTAATCTTGGTTTTAGGTTCTTCCCTTTCATCACTTTAAATATGTCATGCCACTCACTTCTGGCTTGTAGTGTTTCTGCTGAGAAATCAGCTGTTAACCTTATGGGAGTTCCCTTGTATGTTATTTGTCATTTTTCCCTTGCTGCTTTCAATAATTTTTCTTTGTCTTCAATTTTTGCCAATTTGATTGCTCTGTGTCTTGGCGTGTTTCTCCTTGGGTTTATCCTGTATGGGACTCTCTGTGCTTCCTGGACTTGGGTGGCTATTTCCTTTCCCATGTTAGGGAAGTTTTCGACTATAGTCTCTTCAAATATTTTCTCGGGTCCTTTCTCTCTCTCTTCTCCTTCTGGGACCCCTATAATGTGAATGTTGTTGCATTTAATGTTGTCCCAGAGGTCTCTTAGGCTGTCTTCATTTCTTTTCATTCTTTTTTCTCTATTCTGTTCCACAGCAGTGAATTCCACCATTCTGTCTTCTAGGTCACTTATCTGTTCTTGTGCCTCAGTTATTCTGCTATTGATTCCTTTTAGTGTATTTTTCATTTCAGTTATTGTATTGTTCATCTCTGTTTGTTTCTTCTTTAATTCTTCTAGGTATTGGTTCTTTAATTCTTCTAGGTCTTTGTTAAACATTTCTTGCATCTTCTCGATCTTTGCCTCCATTCTTTTTCCGAGGTCCTGGATCCTCTTCCCTATAATTATTCTGAATTCTTTTTCTGGAAAGTTGCCTACCTCCACTTCATTTAGTTGTTTTTCTGCGGTTTTATCTTGTTCCTTCATCTGGTACATAGCCCTCTGCCTTTTCATCTTGTCTGTCTTTCTGTGAATGTGGTTTTTGTTCCACAGGCTGCAGGACTGTAGTTCTTCTTGCTTCTGCTGTTTGCCCTCTGGTGGATTAGGCTATCTAAGAGGCTTGTGCAAATTTCCTGATGGGGGGGACTTGTCTAGTCCATCTTTAAATATTAGAGTTTCTTCAGTCTCATTGCTAGAGCCTCTTGTTTATTCATTCTTTCCTCATCCTTTAGGTAATCTCACCCATTCTGAGGGGGTCCTCTACAATACTATCTCTATAGCCTCAGGCTGGGGATTTTTTGTTTTGTTTTGTTTTGTTTTTTTGCTGCACCTGCGGCTTGTAGAATCTTAGCTTCCTAACAAGGGATTGAATCTGGACCCCCTGAAGTGCAAGCGTGGAGTCCTATCCACTGGATCACCAGGGAATTCCCAGCCCCAGCGTTTATATTATCTGTGCCAGATCCCTCCCTTGGGCTCCTCAACTTGCATATCCAGCTTCCTGTCTGACGTCACTACTCAGCTGCCCCCAATTCATTAATTCATTCCGTTGCCAAATATCCACTGGGTACCTACTCTGTGTTGGTCACTATGGTAGGGAGTGTATACAGTGCTGAATAAAATGCACTTGGTCCCTGCCCTCATGAAGTTTACATTTAGTGGTGGGGGTGTGAGAAAATAAACAAGAAAACAAACAAAAAATAGTGAAATCCACTACTTTGTTTGAATTTTATTTTATTTTATTTTTTAAACAGCAGGTTCCTATTAGTTACCTATTTTGTACATCTTAGTGTATATATGTCAATCCCAATCTCCCAGTTCATCCTACCACCACTCCCCACCATCACTTTCCCCTCTTGGTGTCCATTCGTTTGTTCTCTACATCTGTGTCTCTATTTCTGCCCTGCAAACTGGTTCATCTGTACCATTTTCCAGATTCCACATATATGCATTAATATAAGATATTTGTCTGAAAACCACTATTTTTTGAATAAAGTAAGCTGCAGTAATAGAGAATGTTTTTAAAAATGTGTGTGCAAGTGTAGGAGGCCTACTTACAATAGCCAGGGAAGATCTCCCTGGAGGTACTGTCATGGAAGCTGAGAGTTCAAGGATAAAAAGCAATCACTCATGGGAAGAACATTCTAGATAGTAGCAACAGTATGTGCAAAGGCCCTGCTGAGGAAAAGAATGAGAAGTATGTGAAGAATTTAAAGGAAGCCACTAAGGCTGGAATATGGTGATTTAGGGAAAACAATGACAGTTAATCTAGCCAGAAGGTTAGGAAAGTGTCAGATTATCCAGGATGCTTTAAGTCATAGGGAGGATTTGTGGGGTTTATGCTAAGAACAGTGGGAGCCACCGAAAAGCTTTAATCCAGGAGAAGCACTTGAGCTGATTGGTATTTTTGAAAGCTGACTCTGGCAGCTCCGTGGAGAATGAGTCATAAAGGGGCAAGCATGGAAGCTGGAAAAAGGACTTTAAGGCTGTGTGAGCTATGGTGTGGCTTGGACTAGGATAGGGGTTGTGGACAGGGTGAAAAGTGGATAGATTAGAAAGATAGTTGGGGGAGTTCCCTGGCGGTCCAGTGGTTAGGACTCAGCACTTCCCTGGTCAGGGAACTAAGATTTCCCCATGCCCCATGGCATGGCCAAAAAAAAAAAAGGTAGTTGGGAAGTTGAAACAGTGCAGAAGAGTCTACCTAAGAACTAGACCCTGGTGCTAGAATGTCTGGTTTGAAGCCTGGCTCTGCTACTTCCTAGCTGCATGGATTCGGGCAAATCCATAATTTCAGTGTCCTTATTTATAAAATGACTATAATAATAGTAGTTATAGGAAGTATCAGGATGAAATGAGTTAATATACATAACATTTCTTAGAGCATAATAAGCATGATTGATATTAAGTGTTAGCTATTAATATTAATGATGCATTGGTTATGCAGGGTGAGGGAGGAATCAATGGTGATGCCAGATTTCTAGCATGAGCTGCTGGATGTCTTCTTGAGACACTAGAGTAGCAAAACTTCAGTCTTGGGTAAAACTGATGTTTTACTTTCTCCATGTCTACTGGAAAAAGTCACACAATTGGGCAGATTGAGCCTATTGTAAAATCCATGATCATAGACCTCAAATGAGACTTCAATATGGCCCAGGAATTTTACTACATATTTTTGGTCAATTCACTCACCTTCCTTCTGCAACCATTTTTTACAACTTTCTCCACTCTCCTCTAACCTCCTACCCCAGCACCACCTCCCACCTGCTCCCACACGTTCAATATTTGACCACAACTCTTATTTCATAGAGAAAATAGAAGCCGTTAGATAGGAACTCCCGTCATCTTCTGGTGACCAAACACACGTATCTTACCCATCTCTACATCCACCCTACCTTCCTTTTCCCCTGCTACATAGGATAGTGGTTCCCAAAGTGTAATTAATTCCCCAGAACAGAACAGGAGAGTCAACAGTGCCTGGGAACTTGCTGGAAATGCAGATTTGTAGACCCCACTTCCAAATCTATAGAATCACAAACTCTGGTGGAGGAAGGGGCAGCAACCTGTTTTAACAAGCTTTCCAGGGAATTCTGATGCACAAACCAATGCAAGAGAAGAATGACGCCTCTTCTCATTGAAGGCCATTCCTTTACTTGTGCTTGGATGATGTCCTCCCCTGCTTTCCTGGGAATTTTATGTCATTATCTCTTTTTCCTCATGTATATTCAACCTCTCCTTCTCGACTGGAGCTTTCTCATGCACACTAAAACATGCTCTAACACAACATTGTAAATCAACTATACTCCAATAAAAATTAATTTAAAAAAACAAAACAAAACAAAAAAATAAAACATGCTCAAGCCTTTCTCACATACAAAACTGTCTCTTTCAATCTTTCATCCCCTTCTGGCTACCACAGGATAGTTTTCCCCCCCTCCACAGCCGAACATCTTGAAAGAGTTGTTGCTGGTGTGGGATAATGGGTAGTCAATAGTCTTATGAGACTCCCACTGCTGGTGGGAGGGAAGATTGGTACAGCCATTTGGGAGGGCAGTTTGGTCGTACAGTAACTATTAAAATATAAAAAGTGCAAGCAGTGTCTATTAAAATTTAAATGAGCATTCCCTTCTTGTTGCCTTCTTTGACATGGTGAGTGTATATAAGGCAGTTTTCTGCAGAATTGTGAGCGACTGGGGAAAAATTAGAAACAACTTAAATGACTATCAGTATAGGAATGCCAAATAAATTATGATACAGTATGTAATATCGGTAGTGCATTTATTAAAATAATGAAGTGGCTCATTCTATACATCATGTTATACTATATAATATATGTTTATGTAAAACATATGCACATGTATATATATGTGTCTACATTAAATTATGTTATTATCTATAACATTAATATGTTAATACCCAGAAAAAGGCCAGGAAGGACACACCAAACGAATAACTATGGTTACCTCTGAAAGGTGAGGAAGACGACCAGGATTGGTAGCAGCAGTCAAAGAGGATTTTAGTCCTGTCTGTAACGTTTTCATTTTTTAAAGGAAAATATATTTATGTATTATATAATTAAAAATCAAATAAAAGAAAAAGTTGTCAAAAAAGAAAGAGTTATCTATACCAGCTACTCCATTTTATCACCTCTCACTCAATTCTTAACCCACTCCAATCTGGCTTTTATCCAGGTCATTTCCCTAAAATAGCTCTTTCATGTCGGAAATGACATCTGTGTCACCACATCTAAAAGATAAGATGTTTTCTGCTATTTTACTTGGCCTTTTTTTGTTCTTGGCCACTTTCTCCTTGAAACACTCTCTTCCCTTGGGCTTCCAAGCTCTTTTATATTTAACAACATATTCTTCTGGCTTTCCACCTACATCTCTGCCTGATCTCTCTCTAACAACTCTGCAGCTTGCCTATCCTTCTCTACTAGACTACAAATTTGTTGAATTTTTTTCAAAGACTTGCCCTGGATCCTCTTCTCTTCTCATTCTGTACTCTCCCAATAAGTGATTTCTTTTATCATCCATAAGCCATCAACTTCCAAATTTGCATCTCCCATTCCATGGCTATATGTTCAGCTGCATGTTTGATATCTCAATTTGTAACTCTCCAGTCTCCTCAAGTACAATAGGTCCCCCCAAAACCCCTCTTAATCTCTCTCTATCCCCTTAAATCTAGTCCTCTTTCAATATGCCATGCCTTAGTGAATGGTTCCACCATCCATCCAGTTGGGCAAGCCAGAGACCAATGAATCTGCCATGACACTTCCCTTTTCTCTCTCTCTCTCTTTTTTGGCCACACCGGGTGGCATGTGGGATCTTAGTTCCCAGACCAGGGATTGAACACCGAGCCCGCTGCATTGGCAGCGCAGAGTCTTACCCACTGGACCACCAGGGAAGTCTGTGGTGATCATTTCTCAATGATCCCTGTAATAAAGGAATATAGGTACCCTTTTGATAACAAGTTGATACTGGTGCAGAAATACAATTCAGTCAGAAACTCTAGTATCAGGGAAAAAACTAAAACTCTCCATTCTCACCATATCACAGAGCATATAAATTATAAGAATAATTACTCAGATGGAAAACTTAATCTTCAAAGTGTTAAGCCTGTGAAATCAAGCTATTTCAATGGCTGCCTTGTACGAAAGTGGTAGGTGTGGATAAAAGGAGAAGATCCAGAGTTAACAATTGACTAAATGGGGGAGGCAGACAGAACTTTAATACAAAGTGAAAGTGACAAATCACAAGTATACACAGGGTGTAGTGGGAGCACATACAAGGGGCACTTAATCCAACTCTGTGGTATGTGTGTGTGGTGTGGTATATATGCGGAGTGGGGGGCTGTCAGGGAAGATATGCTAGGAAAGGTAACTTTCCACATTAACTGAAATATACAAGCAAGATTTCAGCCAAGCAAAAGGTGGGAGAGGGGGGTGGCAGGGTCTGCAGAGGCTACTATACCAAGGAACAGCAAGGATCAATTTGTTTAGAGACTAGAGAGAACAGCCTCTTCGTGTAACTGAAAGTAGTTCTTTGGAGCAGGATCAGAGAGTAGATTGACTATGGGAGTGGCATCTCCATCCTCCACCCTCCTCCCCTGCACTAAATTTTGATGCTGGAGTGGTGTATGTATGTGAGGGCGAAGGGTTAGGTCATGCAGGTCTTCCCGAGCAAAGGCAGAGTTTGTACTTAATCCTTAGGGCAATGAAGAACCAGGACAAGATGTTTTCCACTTTTTATTTCAAGATAATTTTAGATTTACTGAAGTGTTGCAAAAGTAGTACAGCAAGGTCTCATTCACTGAACTTCCCTTAACATAAACATCTTACATAACCACGGTAGAATGATCAAACTAAGAAATCAAGGTTGGTACAATACTATTAGCTACACTATAGACTTCAATGGGATTCCACCAGTTTTTCCACTAAGGTCCTTTTTTTTCCAATCCAGGACCCACATTGCATTGAGCTGTCCAGCAAAGGATTTTAAAGAAGAGTGTGACGTGATCACATTTGCAATGTCAGTTTGAGAGAAACATATTTAGATTTTGGGCAATGGGGAAGGAAAAAGTGAGTCAAGTTAGGAAGCCCAGGGAATAAGCTAGTCTGGCCCTGTTGGCACCCTATGAAAGTTATGATGTAGCCTCTGGAGCTGACACACTGGCCTACCATGGCACATTTAGTTTCCTTTCTGATGTTCCGATATGCTGATTTAGAAACATGGTTTAACTAGAGCATGATTCCACTGGATCACAGTATTCCTTTGTTCTACTACTCAATTTTGGTATGGACACATTGAAGTGAACTGGAAAGAGGATGGGAACTGCAGCTTGGATGTTTTTAACTCCAAATGGTTAGAAACATGGGGGAAAAATAACTATTAAACACTTAGTAGTTGCATTTTCTTTAATGTGGCCTGAAGCATCTGCTTCTGTGAAGTGCCATTCCTTGTGTTTCCCTTTACAAAATTGTCTGAGTGACACTGCATGTCACGAATTGCATGGTTAAATCTCTCTATGTGCCATTGTCAAAGATAGCTCCGAACTTGAGATTTATATGCTTTGCTCAATTCTTTACTTGCTTGTTTCTGGAACATTCTTAGTTGATGTAGCTGGAAGCGTAACAGCTACGTTATAAAACGTAATGTTATAAAACAGCTACGTTATAAAACTTTTTTATTACCAGACATTTTTCACTTCCTTTTTTTTTAATTTATTTTTTTGGCCCACACCATGTGGCGTGTGGAATCTTAATTCCCTAACCAGGGATCGAACCTGGGCCCCCTGCAGTGGAAGCACAGAGTCGTAACCACTGGACTGCCGGGAAAGTCCCTCTCTTTCTTTCTTTTTTTAAAAAAAATATTTATTTATTTATTTACTTTTGGCTGGGTTGGGTCTTCATTGCTGTGCATAGGCTTCCTCTAGTTGTGGCGAGTGGGGGGCTACTCTTCGTTGCAGTGCGTGGGCTTCTCACTGCAGTGGCTTCTCTCGTTGCGGAGCATAGGCTTTAGGCACGCAGGCCTCAGTAGTTGTGGCACGTGGGCTCAGTAGTTGTGGCTCGCGGGCTCTAGAGCACAGACTCAGTAGTTGTGGCGTACAGGCTTAGTTGCTCCGCAGCATGTGGGATCTTCCCCGGCCAGGGCTCGAACCTGTGTCCCCTGCATTGGCAGGCGGATTCTTAACCATTGCACCACCAGGGAAGTCTTTCACTTTCTTTTAATACCATTATTTTTAAGAACTATATTAGATATCAGGAGACCTGCTTTCTAGCCTTGACTTGGTCATCTATTAGCTGTGTGACCTTGGACGAGCAAATTAACTTCTCCTGTTCTCAGTTACTTCACATTAAATAACTACCCTGCCAACCTCATATAGTCAGGTAAAATAATGGATGGACACAAACTTTGCAAACTCTACTGCTACATAAATAAAGGGGGTATTATCCTCGTTATCTACATTTACTCACATCTCTTGATTGCATCCTCTTTTGATTTCCAAATGAGGTAAAACATATAAAATGTCTATGACAGTGTAAGTGAATTCATTCATTAATTCATTTTTTCATTTATTCTGAATTTATGTATTATGTTCTAAGTGCCCAGATCTTCACTATGGATTTGAAGATCAGCAGGAAATGGATCCTGTGCTCTAAAGCTTACTTTCAGTAGAGAGAGAGATACAAGTAGGCAAATAAAATTAATAAAGTGTTTGTTCTTTACTTTTCCACCAAATACTCGTAATGGCACAGGAGAGAGAACCCGTGTCTCCCTGGAGTTTGGGGCATAGCCTACATTAAGAAATTAATTTCTTTGAAATGGAAAGATAACCCATGCTCTTGTATTGGAAGAATTAATACTGTTAAAATGGCTATACTACCCAAAGCAATCTACAGATTTAATTATCAAATTACCCATGGCATTTTTCACAGGACTAGAACAAATAATCCTAAAAATCATATGGAACCATAAAAGGCCCAGAATTGCCAAAGCAATCCTGAGGAAAAAGAACAAAGCAGGAGACATAACCCTCCCAGACTTCAGACAATACTACAAAGCTACAGTAATCAAAACAGTATGGTATTAGCACAAAAACAGACATATGGATCAATGGAACAGAATAGAGAGTGCAGAAATAAATCCACACACCTATGGTCAATTAATCTTTGACAAAGGAGGCAAGAATATACAATGGAGAAAAGACAGTCTCTTCAGCAGTGTTGGGAAAGCTGGACAGCCACATGTAAATCAATGGAGTTAGAATACACCCTCACACCACACACAAAAATAAACTCAAAATGGCTTAAAGACTTAAATATAAGACATGACACCATAAAACTCCTAGAAGAGAACATAGGTAAAACATTCTTTGACATAGGTTGTACTAACGTTTTCTTAGGTCTGTCTCCCATGGCAAACATTCTCTGATATACATTGTACCAATGCTTTCTTAGGTCAGTTTCCAAAGGCAATAGACATAAAAGCAAAAATAAACAAGTAGGACCTAATCAAACTTTAAGCTTTTGCACAGCAAAGAAAACCATAAACAAAACCAAAAGGCAACCTACGGACTGGGAGGAGATATTTGCAAATGATGCAACTAACAAGGGCTTAATTTCCAAAATATATAAACAGCTCATAGAACTCAATAACAAAAAAACTAAACAATCCAAACAAAAAATGGGCAGAAGACCTAATTAGACATTTCTCCAAAGAAGACATACAGATGGCCAACAGGCATATGAAAAGATGCTCCACATCACTAATTATTAGAGAAATTCAAATCAAAACTACAATGAGAGTACACCTCACACTGGTCAGAATGGCCATCATTAAAAAGTTGACAAATAACGTGCTGGAGAGGGTGTGGAGAAAAGGGAACCCTCCTACACTGTTGGTGGGAATGTAAGTTGGTACAGCCACTATGGAGGACAATATGGAGGTTCCTCAAAAAACTAAAATTAGAATTAGAGTTCTGTCCAGATATATGCCCAGGAGTGGGGTTGCTGGATCATATAGCAACTCTAATTCGAAAAGATACATGCACCCCAATGCACTATTTATAATAGCCAAGACATGGAAGCAACCTAAATGTCCATCAACAGATGAATGGATAAAGAAGATGTGGCATATATATACACACACACATATATATATACATATATATACACACAATGGAATACTACTCAGCAATAAAAAAGAACAAAATAATTCCATTTGCAGCAACATGGATGGGCCTAGAGATTATCGTACTAAGTGAAGTGAGTCAGAAAGAGAGACAAATACCGTATATCACTTATATGTGGAATCTAAAATATGACACAAATGAACTTATTTATGAAACGGAAACAGACTCAGACATACAGAACAGAGTTGTGGTTGTGAAGGGGGAGGGGGGTGGGAGAGGGATGTATTGGAAGTTTGGGATTAGCAGATGCAAACTATTACATATAGAATGACTTTATAAACAACAAGGTCCTACTGTATAGCACGGGGAACTATATTCAATATCCTGTAGTAAACCATGCTTGAAAAAAATATGAAAAAGAATATCTATATATCTGTCGACCTATCTATCTATATATATATATATCTGAATCACTTTGCTGAACACCAAAAACTAATACAACATTGTAAATCAACTATATTTCAATAAAAAAATTATAAAAGAAATTAATTTCTTTGAATTTTCTATTTTAAAAGCCTTACAAATTTGCATTCTACACCACAGTGTAGTCCTGTTTATTTTGTTATTGCTTTTTTTACACAGCAACCAGCCAAGTGGGGTTTATTCGGTAAATACAAGCCTGACTCAATATTTTAAAATCAATGTAATGCATCATGTCAATAATCTTAAGAAGAAACACAAAATTGCATCAATTGATGCCAAAAAATTGGATAAAATTCAATAACCAGTCATGATAAAAATTTTCAGCACACTGGGAGAGAAGGGAACTTTGTTAACCTGATAAAGGGCAGCTACAAAAAGCCTATAGTTAATATGCTTAATGGTGAAAGACTGAATGCTTTCCCCCTAAGATGGAGAGCAAGGCAAGGATGTCCATTCTCATCACTTCTATTCAACATTGTATTGGAAGTCCTGGCCAATAGAAATTGAAAGGTCCCTGTTTGCATACAAGATGAGAAGGTGTACAGGGCTGGCTGGAGATGGCAGGCAGGCCTTACTCTTCTGTAAGACGTGGTCAAATTGGCTCATGGTGGGAGGGGGGCTTTGGTGTTGGGGAAAACCAGGCCTGCCTAGAGGATTACTCCCACAAGGCTGCTCTGGGGCTTCTGCATCTTCTAGGGTTGTGGGGAAGCAGAAACAAACTCTTAGAGCCCCTGTAGCACAGAGAATATGCTGTATCTCTGGGACCAGCAGTGGGCCAGAGCGGGTGATAATCACACACTGATGACATCAGGAGGGCTGTATCTTGTTGCTGACAATGGGGACGTAGCCTTCGGTGATGCTTTACTTCTTGAGGTTAACAGAAAACAGCCCTGCAGGGAGTTTTAATGGAAGACTTCAATGGCACTACTGGAGTTGTAGAGGTTGAGGATGGTGATACGCTGACCACTGCTCTTTCCTGCTTCTCAAAATCTCTGGAGAGTGCGGGGAGGGGCGGGGCCAGGCGTCCTGCTGGTGATGTGGGTGGCACTCCTCCTCCAGGGAGTGCCCAGAACCTGCCCCCTCGCTTAGCAGGATCCTGCAGGCGCTTGGCAGTCTGCCCAGTCCCGAAGCAGATTACGCCTGCTGGGTCCTAGCACGTCTTCTAGATGTTCGGGCCCAGGCCTGAGAGACTGGAGGAGCATCCAGTTTATTTTCATTTATACTCTTTTTCATCCAAAGGCAGGCCGGAGAGAGGTGGTCACGCAGTGGTGAAACACAAAACTTTTACTCAAGCTCTGGTTACTTCCAACCATGACCATTCTCTCGCTTACTAGCTCCCTTCTGGTCCTCTTAAAAATGGTTCCCCTTCTGATCGTGTTATCCTGTTTTCCAAATCTTTACAGGGATGTCTCCAGCTCTTTTGGTCAAGTTCAATCTTTTTTTAAAATAAATTTATTTATTTATTTTTGGCTGCGTTGGCTCTTCGTTGCTGCACGCGGGCTTTCTCTAGTTGCCACAAGCGGGGGCTACTCTTCCTTGCCGTGCGCAGGCTTCTTATTCCAGTGGCTTCTCTTGTTGTGAACACTGGCCCTAGGTGCGCGGGCTTCAGTAGCTGTGGCATGCAGGCTCAGTAGTTGTGACTCACGGGCTTCGTTGCTCCGCGGCATGTGGGATCTTCCAGGACCAGGGCTTGAACCCGTGTCCCTTGCATCAGCAGGCGGATTCTTAACCACTGCGCCACCAGGGAAGCCCCCACGTTCAATGTTTTTACTAACAACTCCCCTAATTCTGATCGTTGGTACATTTTCTCCATTCCTTTGTCCTACAACTTTTTCTACCCCTCTAATCCAGGAGTTAACTCGCTAAATTTCGACCTGCCTCTGCTATTGGCCAGTTAGCTGCCTTTGTTCTGTCTTGAATTGCCCCCCTGCCAATCAGCAGAAGATGCAGACCTTTTGGAGCCAGGGAACTTGCACAGAAAGGCCCTTGGGGAGGCGCACACGTCTCAGCATAAACAAATGACCTCTTGTTCTCCAAAGCTCTTGAGACACAAGGAGGAAAAATAATACGCTCTTCTACTATCTTTGTCCTATGATACCTACAATACTTTCTAGGTCCAAGTACAGGCACTTTGCATTATAAGACAGCACAAGGAGCAGAAGGTAAGGGCGACAAGGATTCTTACAGAGGTCGCAAAATAAGATCCCTGCCGCTTAGAGAAAGAAAACTTTAAGAATCTTAAGAGCAACCCCCTTTCTTCCCCTCTCTCTTCTTCAGTTTTTTTCCCTTTCTTCCCCCTTCCCCAGACCTGCACCGTCCAACAGAAATATAACTAGAGCCACATACGTAATTTTAAATGTTCTAGTAGCCACACACAAAAAATAGAGGGAGGGATAAATTAGGAATTTGGGATTAAAAGATGCACACTTATTATAAAATAGATAACAAGGACCTACTGTATAGCACAGGGAACTATATTCAATATCTTATAATAACCTATAATGGAAAAGAATCTGACAAAGAATAGCTATATACACATATGTATAACTGAATCACTGTCTTGTACACCTGAAACTAACACAACATTGTAAATCAACTATACTTCAATAAAAAAACTTAAGCCACAAAAAAGAAACAGGTGGAATTAATTTTAATGTTTTATTTAATGCAAGAGACTCCAAATATTATCATTTCAACATGTAATCAATATGAAGTTGGAAAGGTTTTGCATTCTTTTTACCGTGCAAATTCTTTGAAACCTAGTATACAATGTACACTTACAGACATCAGTTTCGTACTTGCTGCATTTCAAGCGCCGGATAACCACCACACTGGGCAGCAAGGCCCAGGAATTCCCCTCCGCCCACCCTGGCAGCAAGAACTGAAGATGGCGGGGCGGTAACCCTGCTATTGGTACTAAGAGAGGCAAAATCAGGAGGACGCGAGACTGTGATGCTGGGAAGTTGAAACCTCTCAGGCTGCTTCCCTCCTCCCCCACCCCCCGCCCCCCGGACACCGCGAGGCAGCTCTGAAGGCTGCGCGCGCGAGGAACCGCCAGAACCGCGGGAAAGTGCTGGGCTGGGGATGCTGGGAGGACGGAGAGGGAGGTGGGGGGAAGGGAGGAGGGGTGAGGGGCGGTGGAAGGCGCGGCGGGGACCCGCACGCATGCGTGCTCCGCGCGCTCACAAAGCCAGCCAGGCCGTCTAGCAACCGGGCTCCGAGCCAATGTCTCGCCCGAACAAGTGGCCTTCCCTGGAGTTCTAGTCCCACCAGCCGGTCTCGGCTCTTCCCTGTCCGTCCACGGTTCTTCCTTATCATTTCCGCTTCTCCCCTCCACTGGTTCCGATCTCGTCCATGGTGTGTGTCCTCAAGCGCTGAACCGGCTCCTAGAATGTGTACTCGTGGTTTCCGCCTGGGAACCAACCTCTGTCGCCTGTGGCCCACCCTCCCCGGGCTCAGGTGGCTGCTGGGGCTGGGGCTGCTCCCGGGGCTTAAGGCCGCCCGCTGCGCGGCTTTTTATCTTCCCGCGTTGGCTCAGGTCAACTTCTTCGAGGCAGACTGAGAGACTGCTACCTGCAAGGTGAGGACTAGAGGGGGTAAGTGAGATGTGAGGGGAGGCTTCGGGTTGCAGTATGGGGCACACCGGGGCCGACCAGTGCTGGGAGCTCTCAGACTCTGACCCAGAATGCCAAAGCCCCCTCTGTGGGTGTGTTTCGGGGTCTCAATCGCTGAGCCTCGCACTTGGCGGATCCGGACCTCTCTTTTTCCCTGATCCTCTTTCCCTCCCTCTTGGCTCCTCCCACTTCGTCTCTTTTCCTCTAACTCCCTCTCAGCTTCTCTTCCGCCCACCTCACAGCTCCTCCTTTTACGCTGTTCTCTCCGCTCCTTGTCCGCGGTCTCGGGCTTCTTCCTTTCCACTCCCTCTCGCCTCCACCCCCTCGCTTCCCCTCTTCCCTCTAGGCTCCGCCCTCCCTCTCGGCCCCTGCCTCTTCCCTTATCTTGGTCCCTCTAGTTAGTTCCTGCTCCGGCTCTGTCCCGCCTACTCCCTCTCAGCCACTCCCCCTCCCCTTGGTTCCTACCTCTCCCCCTTCCAATTGGCTGCTCCTCCACCTCTCAACTCCTCCTCCATCATAACTCCTCCCCTCCCCCTCCCGCTCGAAGGTTCTTTCCTCTCCTACTCTGTGTCTTCTCCCTCTCTCCCACTTCCCCTCCCTACTGTCCCCCTTATACTGAATATAATCTGCCTTTCAAGATTCACACACTCACTAGGTCTTCCTTAGATATAGTCCTACCATGTTTCTGTCACCCCTCACTCCTGTGGTCACACACTTTTACCTCCTTCTTGTTAATTCACGTTGGTTTCTCCTGGGCCCTCGCCGCAAACAGCAAGATAATATTGTTTATCTCTCAGACTTGTGAGAATAAAATGAGACAACGTATGAAAAGCACTGACAAAAACGCCTGGCACCTGGTAAGCCTTAAATAAATGGTAACCATTATCATTATGAGTTTTCTCTAGCCAGAGATTTCTGGCACAATTCCTCTTCCGCATGTCCACCAAACCCCAATAATTTTTTGACTCCCTTCCTTGGCAGTCTTCTTTTTGTAACTGTAAACTCACTCTAAAAATTTTTTTTGGCAAGTAATCAATTCAAAAAGTATTAATGAATAGTAAGACTTATTTTCTGACCTCAGTTTGCCCAGTCGAGTGTGTGCGGTAATGTTCTCTTAGAAGGAACCACACAGGCATTACAGAGTTGAGAACAGTGCAAGGTGTGGTTTGACTATAGACTTAGCCAAGTTGAAAGCTGGGGTTTTTAGAGGCCAGTTCTAGGTGCAGCAAACTTGCTCTTAATCCTGGAGCTTGCCTTTTCCTGTGAGAAGTATTGATGGTGGTGTTTTGAGCCATGATCTTGTGAAACACGTGTAACTAAGAAATAGCATTTAAAAATTACTTTACACCTGCCTTTTCTCTGACTGGTAATACCTAGTGCTGGCTCTTTATTTCAGCAGGCTTCCTAGCAAAGAAATATAATCTTTAACGAATTTCTTTCTTTTCTTTCTTTCTTCCTTCCTTCGTTGGGTCTTTGTTGCTGCACGCTAACTTTCTCTAGTTGCAGTGAGTGGGGTCTACTCTTCCTTGCAGTGTGCGGGCTTCTCATTGTGGTGGCTTCTCTTTGTTGCGGAGCATGGGCTCTAGGTGCGTGGGCTCAGTAGTTGTGGCACATGGGCTCAGTAGTTGTGGCTCGTGGGCTCTAGAGCACAGGCTCAGTAGTTGTGGCACACGGGCTTAGTTCCTCCACAGCATGTGGGATCTTCCCCGGCCAGGGCTCGAACCTGTGTCCCCTGCATTGGCAGGCGGATTCTTAACCACTGTGCCACCAGGGAAGTCCCAAGTTGAACATTTAAAAAACTGACTTGTGGAAACTCTTAAATAAGGAAACTAGTTCCTTGTTTGTGGCATCCTTTTTCCAAGTTTGTCAGTTGTCTTTGGTTTTGCTTATTGTTTTTTTTTTCTTTTGTCGTTTAGAAAAATTGGCTTTTATTCTATTTGTCAAACTTTTTATGACTTCTGAGTTTTGTGCCCTATTTGAGAGATCTTTACCATACCAGACAAGGTTATAAAATAATTCTCCTATGGTTTTTTTTTTTTTTTGCGGTACGTGGGCCTCTCACTGTTGTGGCCTCTCCCGTTGCGGAGCACAGGCTCCGGATGCGCAGGCTCAGCGGCCATGGCTCACGGGTGCAGCCGCTCCGCGGCATGTGGGATCTTCCCAGACCGGGGAACGAACCCATGTCCCCTGCATCGGCAGGCGGACTCTCAACCACTGCACCACCAGGGAAGCCCTCCTATGGTTTCTTATATTACTTCTATGGTTTTAATTTTAACATTTAAATAAGATTAACATTTTCTGCTGTAATATATGAGAGGAGCCCTCTTAATTTTTTTTTCAGATTGTTGACCAGTTGTCTTAACACCATTTATTGATTAATCTATCTTTTTTCCACTTGATTTGAGAAACTATGAAGGTTCTTATAAATATAGTAAGCTCCAAGTATGTATTTTTAAAATTTTATTTATTTATTTATATTTATTTTTGGCTGCATTGGGTCTTTGTTGCTGTGCGTGGGCTTTCTCTAGTTGTGGCGAGCAGGGGCTACTCTTCGTTGTGGTGCACGGACTTCTCATTGCAGTGGCTTCTCTTGTTGCAGAGCATGGGCTCTAGGCACGCGGGCTTCAGTAGTTGTGGCTCGCGGGCTCTAGAGCGCAGGCTCAGTAGTTGTGGCGCACGGGCTTAGTTGCTCCGTGGCACGTGGGATCTTCCCGGACCAGGGCTTGAACCCATGTCTCCTGCAGTGGCAGGCAGATTCTTAACCACTGTGCCACCAGGGAAGTCCTGCATTTTAAAATATAGTTGAAATCTTATGTACTTTGTCAGTTTGGGGACTCTAGATGAGAACTATTATCTTTAATTATCTGCTGTCCTTTAGAAACCTTTGCCTATTCACCTTTATAAAACTATAACTCATATATGTTGCTATTGCTAAATTTCTGATTAGATTTCACTAAGTGTAGATACAATTCTCTTGTTTACAGAGTTATAGTAAGGTTATTTACATGTGTTCTCAAGTGTGATAACTTTCCATGTCCTTGTCTTTAAAAAAGAAAAATCTAACCACATGGTATAGATGATAGCAGATGTTCAATCTTTTAAAAAGCAGCATATGAAATTTTGAAAAAGAATTACCCAAGTTCTGCTGTTTTAGTGATTTAAAAATTCCTGTCTGGTAAATTATCAAGAGCACAGCTGAGATCCAGGGAAGTAAGCAAAAGCGTCCTGTGAAGAGCCAGAAGAGATGTTATAATGTTCATGAACTAACTTCATGCTCTCAGACAGTCTTTTTGACATAGGCTTTTTTTTTTGGCCTTGCTGTGCGGCATATGGGACCTTAGTTCTCTGACCAGGGATGAAACCGAGGGCTCCAGCAGTGAGAGCACTGAGTCCTAACCACTGGACCGCCAGGGAATTCCCTCCATTTAAAGTTATTATAGGACTTCCCTGGTGTCGCAGTGGTTAAGAATCCTCCTGCCAATGCAGGGGATATGGGTTCGAGCCCTGGTCCGGGAAGATCCCACAGGCCGTGGAGCAACTAAGCCCGTGCGCCACAACTACTGAGCCTGTGCTCTAGAGCCCACGAGTCACAACTTCTGAGCCAACGTGCCACAACTACTGAAGCCCGCACGCCTAGAGCCCGTGCTTTGCAGCAAGAGAAGTCACTGCAATGAGAAGCCTGCACACTGCAATAAAGAGTAGCCCCCGCTCGCTGCAACTAGAGAAAGCCCACGCGCAGCAACGAAGACCCAGCACAGCCAAAAATAAAACATAAATAAATAAATTAATTTTTTAAAGTTATAAAATATTGGTTATATTCCCTGTGCTGTATGATATATCCTTGCAGCTTATTTCTTTTATACACAGTAGTTTGTATCTGTTAATTCCCTACCACTATCCTGCCCTTCCCCACATTCCTCTCCCCAGTGGTAACCACTAGTTTGTTCTCTATATCTGTGAGTCTGTTTCTGTTTTGTTATATTCATTCATCTTATTTTTTATTTTTTAATTTATTAATTTTTTTTCTTAGCGGTACGCGGGCCTCTCACTGTTGTGGCCTCTCCCGTTGCGGAGCACAGGCTCCGGACGCGCAGGCTCAGCGGCCATGGCTCACGGGTGCAGCCGCTCCGCGGCATGTGGGATCTTCCTGGCCCGGGGCACGAACCCGTGTCTCCTGTATCGGCAGGCAGACTCTCAACCACTGCGCCACCAGGGAAGCCCCATCTTATTTTTTAGATTCTACATATAAGTGATATCATACAGTATTTGTCTTTTTCTGTCTAACTTATTTTACGAAGCGTAATACCCTTCAGGTCCATCCATGGTGTTGCAAATGGCAAAATTTCATTCTTTTTTATGTCCTTTTTCACATAGTTTTAACAAATCTGATCATTTATTACACACATTGAGGGCTTACCTTATAGCAGATTAGGGGGAAAAAAGAAGGGAGAAAAGGCATAATGACAGCTGACAGCCAAAATGAAAGAGAAACTCTTTACAAAAAGAAAGGAAACTCTTTACAAACAAGTTTATGTTCTTTGGTAGGGGTGGAGGAGTGTGGGTAGCAGGGGTGTAAATAGTTATCTCTTGCCATTCAGTTTTGGGACAAATAGCTGTTCTCATCTCATTTGATACTGGAGATGTCACAGAGTCAAAGCAGGTGCAATGATTGATGCTCAAAATGACCCTGAATCATCAAGGAAGGTTAAATTGTGATCGTAATGTTTTGTTTAAGATAGGAAAGAGTGAAGTGTATTTTAGAATAATTCTTATAAAAGTGGTTACAAAAGTGCAAAAAAAGCACTTATGCAGGTAGCTTTAATTATTTCCAGTTCTTAACTTGAGTTGCATGGACTCTAGGGGCCCTATGAAGCCTCTTAAAGCTGAACAGGGAATTTGGTGAATATGTGTGCTTTTCTGGGGTGAGGAGCCATAGCTTTCATCCTGTTCTCAAAGGGTTCTATAATTAAAAAAGGTTAAGAATGGCTGAGGTATCTGAAAAATTTACGTATTCAAAGACCCCGATGATGCCAGATAAATGAAATGTTATGAATTTATAGCTATACTGTTTTAAAAATTTATAACTGTACTGTGTTATAAATTTATAACACTGTGCTAAGTTATAAATTTATAACTATACAGTTATAAATTGATGGGAGCAATAGACCCAATTACCTTTCACTTACTTCATTATGTATTTTGCAAGTGCTACCTTATATTACTTTGTATTAGTAATGATTTTTTTTTCCCTTCTTGTAGTCATCAGTAGCACTATTTGTAAATAGATTGGACTCAGTGGAATCTGTGCTACCTTATGAGTATAATACGTAAGTTGTAAGTATTATAATTATATCCAATATAATTGATATAATTGTGATTAATTTATATCATAATTATGATATAATTGTGTTAAAATGTGCCTTAAGTTTTTTTGGTTTTTTTTGTTTTTTCTGTGGTACGCGGGCCTCTCACTGCTGTGGCCTCTCCCGCTGCGGAGCACAGGTTCTGGACGCGCAGGCTCAGTGGCCATGGCTCACTGGCCCAGCCGCTCCGTGGCATGTGGGATCTTCCCGGACCGGGGCACGAACCCGTGTCCCCTGCATCGGCAGGCAGACTCTCAACCACTGCGCCACCAGGGAAGCCCGCCTTAAGTTTTGAAAGTTAGTGAACGAAAGCCCTGAATATATTAAGAAATGTAGTGGTAATTTTATAATAAACTTAACAGAAAAAATGATTAGAATAGAGAGCTTTCAAGGTGAGACAAGTGCTTAAAAAACTAGGAAGTTGCCATACTCGATTTTTCTTTCTAAGAAAGGAAAATTATAAATTTACTACACTTTGAACTTGAAAAAATATCTTTGCAGAGTTGTATCTTATTTCTAAAATATCAAATACTAAGGTAGGTTTCTACTAAGGTTTTTAATGGATGAAGGTGCTTAGTTTAGTAGTGAGTAGTTATTATAAGATTCAGTATGATCATTCATTTGAGAATAACAACAAATGATGTACTTCTTAGAAAAAATGATTGTAGTTCCCTTTGGTATTACTTTATTTCTACTAATTAAGCAGAAATAAAATCAGGTCTGATTTTTATTAAAATACCAGGTGTAAATGTAGGGTGTTAGTATGAGAATTTAAAACATTACAGAGGCCTACCATTTATTTTATCTTCGACCTAAGCCATTTTACATTCAAATTTACTTAAAGGTAATTGTAATTCTTTTCACCTAGTAACTATTTGATTTGTGAGTATGTGGGAATGTGTTTGGGGGTGTTTGTTTTTTAATTCCCCTTTGATCAGAATTGATAATTACAGTTTCTAAATGTCCCACGTTAGAATCAGTACAGACTTTAAGCCATTGTTTCCTTATTTGTGCTTATATGTAATTTGAAGTTTAATCCTAAAAAGTGTTGTTTTCTTTTTGATTGTGATTACCTGCATTACGAAAGTCAAGAGCAGTACCATGAGCATTTAAAATAATGAATTCATAATTATCAGAGGTTAAACAGTTTAAAGAGGAACATATAATGAGGTCTATAAATCATAAATAGAAAGATTCTGGGTCATATTTTTAGAAGAATCTACCATTAAAAGTGGAGAGGCTAGATAAATTATAAGGACTGATTTCTTTGCTGATTTTTTTTTTTACCTTACTTGAACCTCTTTTTTTTTTTTTTGACTTCTGTCAAGACTCCGGAAAGAAAAGCCCTTCTGAAAATCTTGGACAAGTACTATTTGGAGAACAAATAACATCATCTCCTTATGAGGTTATTCAGTTGATCTTATTTTAAATCTTATTTTAAAATGAATCTTCTCAAAACTGACTACGTATACAGCCATCCCTCGGTATCCATGGGGGATTGGTTCCAGGACTCACTGCAGATACCAAAATCCACATATGCTTAAGCCCATAGTCAGCCCTCCACATAGGCAGGTTCCACATCTGCAGATTCAACCAACCACGGATCGTGTATTAAATTTTACATTTGCCATCCACGGTTGGTTGAATCTGCGGATGTGGAACCCATGGAATCAGAGTGCCCACTGTATATTTATTGAAAAAATCTGCATGTATCTGAACCCGGGTAGTTCAAACTTGTGTTGTTCAAGGGTCAACCATAATTGCACCAGAGTCTTTGCTTTAAAAGGAGGTAAAGAAAGAGGAAAGGAGGTAGAATCCGGCGTTGCCAGAAGAATACATTAATACAGTTGGCCCTCCAAATCCAAGGGTTCCGCATCTGAAGATTCAACCAACCTGGAATCGAAAATATTTGGGGAAATAAATTCCAGAAAGTTCCCAAAAGCAAAACTAGAATTTACATAGCATTTACATTGTGTATTAAGTATTATAAGTAATGTAGAGATGGTATGAAGTACAGCTGACCCTTGAACAACACAGGTTTGAACTGTGTGGGTCTACTTATACCCCGATTTTTTTCAATATATGATCTGTGGTTGGCTGAATCCCTGCATGTGGAACCTGATTCAGAGGAACCATCTATGTAGAGGGCCAACTATAAGTTACAGGTAGATTTTCAACATCAGGGAGGGTTGGCCCCCTAACCTCTGCATTGTTCAAGGGTCAACTGTATAGGGGAGGATGTGTGTAGGTTATATGCATAATATACTCCACCATTTTATATGAGGGACTTGAGCAATGGTGGATTTTGGTATCTGTGGATTTTGATATCCTTGGGAGTTCTAGAACCAATCCTCCACTGATACTGAGGGATGACACTATATGCTCTTTAAGCTATTTGCAGTAGTTGGTGGTTCCACACAAAGGTTTTACCTTTCAAGTTTTATTTTTGCTTCATAAAAAAAGTTTAATTTTTTCTTCTTGCATATTTTGGGTAGGGTGATATAAGTAGATGTAATTGGACTCTCAGTGTCTATTGATATTGCCCTTGATACCTTAATAGATATGGGGATAGAGTAAGGATGTTTTCAAGAGCAGTCATGGTTATGAAGGCACTAACTTTTTTCTTCTTTTTTCTCAACTTCATTGAAGTATAACTGAAGTACAATAAACTACACGTATTGAAAGTGTATAATTTGATCAATTTTAATATATGTGAAACCATCAGACGTTAGCTTGTTTTACAACTTTTTATTTTGAAATAATTACAGATTCACAGGAAGATACAAAAAAATGAACAGGTAGGTCTTGTGTACCCTTTACCCAGGTTTGCCCAATGGTAACATCTTGCATGACTATAGTACAATAGCAAAACCAGGGAATTGACGTTGGATGATGCACAGACCTTTTTCAGATTTCACTAGTTTTACATGCACTCTTGTGTGTGTGTGTGTGTGTGTGTGTGTATGTGTGTGTGAGATGCAGATTTGTGTACACACCAGCACAGTCAATACACAGCATAGTTCCATCAGCACAAGGCTCCCTCATGCTGCCCATTTTCTGTTCTTTTTCTATTTAGTTTTCAAAATTCTTTGTATATTCTATCAATAGTTATGATTCCTTTATTGCAACAGTAGTTTGCAAATAGTTTCTCCCAGTCTGTGACTTGTGTTTTCGTCTTCTTTATAGGGTCTTTCACAAAGCAAATGTTTTAAATTTTATGTGGTCCAGTAATCAAGTTTTCCTTTTATGCATCATGCTTCTGGTGTCAAGTCTAAGAAGACTTTGCATAGCCTTAGGTCCTGAAGACTTTCTTCTAAAAGTTTTATAATTTGACTTTATTTAAGTCTGATCTATTTTGAGTTATTTTTTGTATTAAGGTGTGAGGTCTGGGTTGAAATTCTCTTTTTTTTTGCCTGTAGATGTGCAATTGCTTCAGTACCATTTGCTGGAAAGACCTTTTCAGCAATTTCAGTTCTTACTCCACTTACTTGCTTTTACATCTTTGTGAAAAAATCACTTGGGCCTAGTTGTGTAGGTCTATTTCTGGGTTCTCTATTGATGTGTTCCATTGGTCTGTGTGTCAGGCATTCGCTTTTCGATGATTAAAGTTGCACACAATTCCCCTGTGGAGTACCATTATCCTAAGAGAAAAGTGCGCCTTTTCAAGTAATGCTATCCTTTGGACGGAAGAAACATGACAGTTTAGTTCAGTTGCCAATAAGGAATTTTAGGTTTAATATTTGTATGATTTCAGGATATGAAGTGTTAAATTTTCATTGTTTATTCTTATTGTTTTCTGATGAACCACATTGGCACTTCATCTTGATAATCTCCTGTAGCTAGACTTTGTAAACAAGAGGTTTCATATTAAAAGTATCAAATATTTTATTATCACTTTTTTTGGTAACAGCTTTATTGAGAGATCATTCACATACCAAATAATTCACCAACTCATAAGTGTCCAATTCAATGCTTTTTAGTATACTCATGGAGTTGTGTAACCAGCACTATAACCAATTTTATTATCAGTTTTAAGTGAAGGGTTGTAGATCAGGGTAGTTTTTAGAAAGCTACAGTGGATTTTATTTATTTATTTATTGGCTGCACTGTGAGGCTTGCGGGATCTTAGTTCCCCAACCAGGGATGGAACCTGCATCCCCTGCAGTGGAAGCATGAAGTACTAACCACTGGACTGCCAGGGAATTCCTGCTACAATGGATTTTATACCCCACCATTTATAATACTGAAGAAGGCAAATTCTTCTGTTTAGTGGTGAAAGCAGTGTGTGTGTGTATGTGTGTGTGTGTGTGTGTGTGTGTGTGTGTGTGTCTACTGTAATCATTTTAGGTATGAACTGAAATGTAGAGGAGATAGTGCTGAGAATGATGGCATACTGAAGTCTCTGAAGAAAAGTTTTATTTGTAAGATAAAGTGCTTGTTTTGTGACAGTTGATTTATACAATTTAGTCAAATCTCTTAATATTTTTAATTTTCTTTCTTAATAGTTTTAACAAGACAGAAACGTGTAAAAGTTTGTGTAAAATCTTATGATACAGCAAATGAAAATCAAAAGAAAAAGCTGTCCATCTTTGTCTCTTGTAATAGTCTTTATTTTAAAGTCTTTTTTTTTTCTTTTTTTCTGCGGTACGTGGGCCTCTCACTGTCGTGGCCTCTCCCGTTGTGGAGCACAGGCTCCGGACGCGCAGGCTCAGTGGCCACGGCTCATGGGCCTAGCCACTCCGCGGCATGTGGGATCTTCCTGGACCGGGGCACGAACCCGTGTCCCCTGCATCGGCAGGCGGACTCTCAACAACTGTGCCACCAGGGAAGCCCTAAAGTCTATTTTGTCTGATATGAGAATCGCTACTCCAGCTTTCTTTTGATTTCCATTTGCATGGAATGACTTTTTCCATCCCCTCACTTTCAGTCTGTATGTGTTCCTAGGTCTGAAGTAGGTCTCTTGTAGACAGCATATATACAGGTCTTGTTTTTGTATCCATTCAGCCAATCTATGTCTTTTGGTTGGAGCATTTAATCCATTTACATTTAAGGTAATTATCGATGTGTATGTTCCTATTACCATCTTCTTAATTGTTTTGGGTTTGTTATTGTAAGTCTTTTCCTTCTCTTGTGTTTCCTGCCTAGAGAAGTTCCTTTAGCATTTGTTGTAAACCTGGTTTGGTGGTGCTGAATTCTCTTAGCTTTTGCTTGTCTATAAAGGTTTTAATTTCTCCGTTGAATCTGAATGAGATCTTTGCTAGGTAGAGTAATCTTGGTTGTAGGTTCTTCCCTTTCATCACTTTCAGTATGTCCTGCCACTCCCTTCTGGCTTACAGGGTTTCTGCTGAAATATCAGCTGTTAACCTTATGGGGATTCCCTCGTATATTATTTGTTGTTTTTCCCTTGCTGCTTTTAATATTTTTTCTTTGTATTTAATTTTTGACAGTTTGATTAATATGTGTCTTGGCATGTTTCTCCTTGGATTTATCCTGTATGGGACTCTCTGTGCTTCCTGGACTTGATTAACTATTTCCTTTCCCATATTAGGGAAGTTTTCAACTATAATCTCTTCAAATATTTTCTCAGTCCCTTTCTTTATCTCTTCTTTGTCTGGGACCCCTATAATTCAAATGTTGGTGCATTTAATGTTGTCCCAGAGGTCTCTGAGACTGTCCTCAATTTTTTTCATTCTTTTTTCTTTATTCTGCTCTGCAGTAGTTATTTCCACTATTTTATCTTCCAGGTCACTTATCCGTTCTTCTGCCTCAGTTATTCTGCTATTGATTCCTTCTAGAGAATTTTTAATTTCATTTATTGTGTTGTTCATCATTGTTTGTTTGCTCTTTAGTTCTTCTAGGTCCTTGTTAAAAGTTTCCTGCATTTTCTCCATTCTATTTCCAAGATTTTGGATCATCTTTACTATCATTACTCTGAATTCTTTTTCAGGTCGTCTGCCTATTTCCTCTTCATTTGTTTGGTCTCGTGGGTTTTTACCTTACTTGTTCATCTGCTGTGTGTTCCTCTGTCTTCTCATTTTTCTTAACTTACTGTGATTGGGGTCTCCTTTTCGCAGGCTGCAGATTCATAGTTCCTGTTGTTTTGGCTGTCTGCCCCCAGTGGCTAAGGTTGGTTAGGTGGGTTGTGTAGGCTTCCTGGTGGAGGGGACTGGTGCCTGTGTTCTGGAGGATGAGGCTGGATATTGTCTTTCTGATGGGCAGGACCGCATCCGCTGGTTTGTTTTGGGGTGTCTGTGACCTAATTATGATTTTAGGCAGCCTCTCTGCTAATGGGTGGGGTTGTGTTCCTGTCTTGCTAGTTGTTTGGCATAGGGTGTCCAGCACTGTAGCTGGTTTTTGAGTGGAGCTGGGAAGATGATTTGCTTTAATCATCGAAAAGCAAATGCCTGACACACAGACACAGATGATACATATAGATGGAGAGATATACCGTTCTTGGATTGGAAGAATCAACATTGTGAAAATGACTCTATTACCCAAAGCAGTCTATAGATTCAATAAAATCCTTATCAAACTACCACTGGCATTTTTCACAGAACTAGAACAAAAAATTGCACAATTTGTATGGAAACACAAAAGACCCTGAATAGCCAAAGCAATCTTGAGAAAGAAAAACAGAGCTGGAGGATTCAGGCTCCCTGGCTTCAGACTATACTACAAAGCTACAGTAATCAAGACAGTATGGTACTGGCACAGGACCAGAAATATAGATAAATGGAACAGGATAGAAAGCCCAGAGATAAACACATGCACATATGGTCACCTTATCTTTGATAAAGGAGGCAAGAATGTACAATGGAGAAAAGACAGCCTCTTCAATAAGTGGTGCTGGGAAAATTGGACAGCTACATGTAAAAGAATGAAATTAGAACACTCCCTAACACCATGCACAAAAATAAACTCCAAATGGATTAAAGACCTAAATGTAAGGCCAGACACTATCAAACTCTTAGAGGAAAACATAGGCAGAACACTCTATGACATAAATCACAGCAATATCCTTTTTTACCCACTTCTTAGAGAAACGGAAATAAAAGCAAAAATAAACAAATGAGACCTAATGACACTTAAAAGCTTTTGCACAGCAAAGGAAACCATAAAGAAGATGAAAACACAACTCTTGAAATGGGAGAAAATATTTGCAAATGAAGCAACTGACAAAGGATTAATCTCCAAAATTTACAAGCAGCTCATGCAGCTCAATATCAAAAAACCAAACAACCCAATCCAAAAATGGGCAGAAGACCTAAATAGACATTTCTCCAAAGAAGATATACAGATAGCCAACAAATACATGAAAGAATGCTCAACATCACTAATCATTAGAGAAATGCAAATCAAAAGTACAATGAGGTATCACCTCACACCAGTCAGAATGTCCATCATCAAAAAATCTATAAACAATAAACGCTGGAGAGGGTGTGGAGAAAAGGGAACCCTCTTGCACTGTTGGTGGGAATGTAAATTGATACAGCCACTATGGAGAACAGTATGGAGGTTCCTTAAAAAACTAAAAATAGAACTACCATACGACCCAGCAGTCTCACTCCTGCACATATACCCTGAGAAAACCATAATTCAAAAAGAGTCATGGGGCTTCCCTGGTGGTGCAGTGGTTGAGAGTCCGCCTGCTGATGCAGGGGACGTGGGTTTGTGCCCCGGGAAGATCCCACATGCCGTGGAGTGGCTGGGCCCGTGAGCCATGGCCGCTGAACCTGTGTGTCCAGAGCCTGTGCCTTGCAACGGGAGAGGCCACAACAGTGAGAGGCCCGCGTACCACAAAAAAAAAAAAAAGAAAAGAGTCATGGACCACAATGTTCATTGCAGCTCTATTTACAATAGCCAGGACATGGAAGCAGCCTAAGTGTCCATTGGCAGATGAATGGATAAAGAAGATGTGGCCCATATATATAATGGAATATTACTCAGCCATAAAAAGAAATGAAACTGAGTCATTTATAGTGAGGTGGGTGGACCTAGAGTCTGTCATACAGAGTGAAGTAAGTTAGAAAGAGAAACACAAATACCGTATGCTAACACGTATATATGGAATCTAAAAAAAAAATGATCATGAGGAACCTAGTGGCAGGACGGGAATAAAGATGCAGACCTACTAGAGAATGGACTTGAGGTCATGGGGAGGGGGAAGGGTAAGCTGTGACAAAGCGAGAGAGAGGCATGGACATATATACCCTACCAAATGTATAACCGATAGCTAGTGGGAAGCAGCCGCATAGCACAGGGAGATAAGGCCGGTGCTTAGTGACCACAAAGAGGGGTGGGATAGGGAGGGTGGGAGGGAGGGAGACGCAAGAGGGGAGAGATATGGGGATATATGTATATGTATAGCTGATTCACTTTGTTATAAAGCAGAAACTAACTCACCATTGTAAAGCAATTATACTCCAATAAACGTGTTTAAAAAAAAAACAAAAGAAAAAGGTGGATTTCTTTTTTTTAAAATAAATTTATTTATTTATTTTTGACTGCGTTGGGTCTTTGTTGCTGTGCGTGGGCTTTCTCTAGTTGCGGCGAGGGGCTACTGTTCCTTGCAGTGTGCAGGCTTTTCATTGCTGTGGCTTCTCTTGTTGTGGAGCATAGCCTCTAGGCATGCAGGCTTCAGTAGTTGTGGCTCGAGGGCTATAGAGCGCAGGCTTAGTAGGTGTGGCTCAAGGGCTTCGTTGCTCCGCAGCATGTGGGATCTTCCCGGACCAGGGCTTGAACCTGTGTCCCCTGCATTGGCAGGTAGGTTGTTAACCACTGCACCGCCAGGGAAGCCCAAAAACTGGATTTCTTGAAGAGAGGAATATAACTGAATTATCAACATCACTGTTGTGTTTGGCATCTGAAATCACATGACTTAATTTTTCACTTCCTTTCAGAAGTAGTTTTAGTAACTATTTAATATCTACTGAAATTGTATACTATTTTTTGTGACTTGAGTTTGATTAAAAATCTGAACTTAAATGTGTGTAAGATGATGTTAGTATTGCTTGATTTGAAATGCTTTTTAAATCTTTTCCTTAAAAAATATTTATATTTAGGATTATTGATAATATGCCAGTGATATGGTGTCATGATATGGAAGATGGAAAAAAGTACTGCACACCAGGATTTCCAATAGGATGTTTTATTACCCAACGTGGCATATTGAAAGATGCTTGCATTATCCATGTAAGTATTGAGAACTTACTATAGAAATATAAGAATGTTGCTTCATTTACAATTTGCTTTCTATTATAGTCACTTAACAAACATGAATGGGACACCTACCATCTTCTTGGTTTTGGGCTAGGTGTTGGGGATACAAAGACAAGTGGTCCCTGCCCTCTAGAAGTTCACAGTCCTATGTAGGGAGATAGACTTGTAAGCAAATCGCTGTGATAAAATGTTATGTGCTAGGAGACTAAGGGGCAGTGAGGATATAATGGAGGGAATGAAAAAGTATTTGGCAGATGAATGGGTGGGTGAGCGTTTCTAGTAGTGAAATCAGTGTGGTCCAAAGCTTGGAAGTCTGAAACAGCATACTGTGATTGGGGGACTGTGAATAGTCGAGTGTGTTTGTGACGTAAGATTTGTGGTTTGGGGGTGCAGGTAGAGATGAAGCGCAGAAGGGGGGTGGGGGAATTCCCTGGCGTTCCAGTGATTAGTACTCCATGGTTCCACTGCAGGGGGCCCAGGTTCAATTCCTGGTTGGGGAACTACGATCCTGCATGTTGAGCCGCAGGGCCAGAAAAAAAGCGGGGGGCGGGTAGGCAGAAGCCAGATCATGGCAGGAGGTCCTGTATGCAATGGTAAGGAAAATAGCATTGAATGCCTGTTATGAGCCAGGAGCAATGTTATATCACTCTATATACAGTGACTAATTTAACCCTTAGAATAGCCCTGTTGCTAGAATCTACTACTGCTGTTTTACAGATGATGAAATTCAATCTCAGAGACGGTAAGGGACATGACTAGGGTCATACCGCTAGTAAGTGGCAGACATAGGACTCCAACTCAGATCTTCTTAATTTTATTTATTTATTTTTATTGGGGTATAGTTACTTTACAATGTTGTGTTAGTTTCTGCTGTACAGCGAAGTGAATCAGCTATATGTATACATGTATCCCTTTTTTTGGATTTCCTTCCCATTTAGGTTACCACAGAGCACTGAGTAGAGTTCCTTATGCTATACAGTAGGTTCTCATTAGATATCTATTTTATACACAGTATCAATAGTGTATATATGTCAATCCCCGTCTCCCAATTCATTCCACTGCCCCCTTTCCCCCTTGGTATCCATACGTTTGTTTGTTCTCTATGTCTGTGTCTTTATTTCTGCTTTACAGATAGGTTCATCTGTACCATTTTTCTCGATTCCACATATATGCGTTAATATACGATATTTGTTTTTCTCTTTCTGACTTACTTCACTCTGTATGACACTCTCTAGGTCCATCCACCTTGCTAGAAATAACTCAATTTCATTTCTTTTTTATGGCTGAGTAATATTCCATTGTATATATGTACCACATTTTCTTTATCCATTCATCTGTCAGTGGACATTTAGGTTGCTTCCATGTCCTGTCTATTGTAAATAGTGCTGCAGTGAACATTGGGGTGCATGTGTCTTTTTGAGTACACCCAGTAGTGGGATTGCTGGGTCATATGGTAGTTCTATTTTTAGTTCTTTAAGGAACCTCTATACAGTTTTCCATAGTATAGTGGCTGTATCAATTTACATTCCTACCAACTGTGCAAGAGGGTTCCCTTTTCTCCACACCCTCTCCAGCATTTATTGTTTGTAGATTTTTTTGATGGTGGCCATTCTCACCAGTGTGAGGTGATACCTCATTGTAGTTTTGATTTGCATCTCTCTGATAATTAGTGATGTTGAGCATCTTTTACTGTGCATCTTGGCCATCTGTATGTCTTCTTTGGAGAAATGTCTATTTAGGTCTTCTGCCCATTTGTGGATTGAGTTGTTTGTTTTTTTGATATTGAGCTGCATGAGCTGTTTATATATTTTGGAGATTAATCCTTTGTCAGTTGCTTCATTTGCAAATATTTTCTCCCATTCTGAGGGTTGTCTTTTCGTGTTGTTTATGGTTTCCTTTGCTATGCAAATGCTTTTAAGTTTAATTAGGTCCCATTTGTTTATTTTTGTTTTTATTTCCATTTCTCTAGGAGGTGGGTCAAAAAGGATCTTGCTTTGATTTATGTCAGAGTGTTCTTCCTATGTTTTCCTCTAAGAGTTTTATAGTGTCCGGTCTTACATTTAGGTCTTTTTTTTTAAAAAAACATTTAATTAATTAATTAATTTTATTTTTTGGCTGTGCCGTGTGTTAGTTGTGGCATGCGGGATCTTCATTGTGGGCATGTGGGATCTTTCATTGTGGTGTGCAGGCTTCTCTCTAGTTGTGGCGTGTGGGTTTTCTCTTCTTTAGCTGTGGTGCACGGGCTCCAGGGCACATGGGATCTGTAGTTTGTGGCACGCGGGCTCTCTAGTTGAGGTGCATGAGCTCAGTAGTTGTGGCCCGAGGGCTTAGTTTCCCTGCGGCATGTGGGATCTTAGTTCCCCGACCAGGGATCAAACCCATGTCCCCTGCATTGTGAGGCAGATTCTTTACCACTGGACCACCAGGGGAGTCCCTACATTTAGGCCTTTAATCCATTTTGAGTTTGTTTTCGTGTATGGTGTTAGGGAGTGTTCTAATGTTATTCGTTTACATGTAGCTGTCCAGTTTTCCCAGTGCTACTTATTGAAGAGACTGTCTTTTCTCCATTGTATATTCTTGCCTTCTTTGTCATAGATTAGGTGACCATAGGTGTGTGGGTTTATCTCTGGGCTTTCTATCCTGTTCCATTGATCTATATTTCTGTTTTTGCACCAGTACCATACTGTCTTGATTACTGTAGCTTTGTAGTATAGTCTGAAGTCCGGGAGCCTGATTCCTCCAGCTCCATTTTTCTTTCTCAAGATTACTTTGGCTGTTTGGGGTCTTTTGTGTTTCCATACAAATTATAAAATTTTTTGTTCTAATTCTGTGAAAATTGCCATTGGTAGTTTGATAGGGATTGCATTGAATCTGTAGATTGCTTTGGGTAATAGAGTCATTTTCACAATATTGATTCTTCCAATCCAAGAATGGTATATCTCCCCATCTGTTTGTGTTCTGTTTGATTTCTTTCATTAGTATCTTATAGTTTTTGTTCTAATTCTCTGAAAACTGCCATTGGTAGTTTGATAGGGATTGCATTGAATCTGTAGATTGCTTTGGGTAATAGAGTCATTTTCACAATATTGATTCTTCCAATCCAGGAAAGGTATATCTCCCCATCTGTTTGTGTTGTCTTTGATTCCTTTCATTAGTATCTCATAGTTTTCTGCATACAGGTCTTTTGTCTCCTTAGGTAGGTTTGTTCCTAGGTATTTTATTCTTTTTGTTGCAATGGTAACTCAGATCTTTTTATCTTGGAAGTCCCAATCACACTGTTTTTGAAATCTGTCTTGTGGTTTTCAAACTGTTTTCTACTGGGCCCTAGGGTAATAGAAGTGTCTTGGGGCTGCCATGGAGGCTGAATCGGCATGGAAGGGCTCAACCAGGAAAGCATTGCTTATAATCTGTGTTACATGTGGAGACTTGACGTGGTTCAGCAATGGGGATGAAGGGGGAGACTCGATGTGGATCAGCAGTGGGGATGAAGGGGAAGGGAGAGAGAGGAGCAGAGTATGCCTGCCAGGTTTCTGTTTTGGTGTCTAATTGGTGGTGCCCTTAATTGTTTCTTTCCAGAGAAAAGGGCAGTGCTTCTTGAATTTCAGTCATTCATGCACCACCTTGTTGATTTTTGCCACATCTGAGGCACCTGTTTTATTATTTATCCGCCATTTTTTTTTTGGCTGCGCCGCATGGCTTGTGGGATCTCAGTTCCCTGACCAGAGATTGAAACTGGGCCCTGGCAGGGAAAGCCCAGAATCGTAACCACTAGGCCACCAGGGAACTCCCTATTTACTCATAATTTAACTTAAATTTATTTAGCAGGAAATTACAGAAATTACAGGCTTAGTGTACTACTTATATATTTTATTCATCTATTTTCAAGTAACTAGATTAAAAAGTAGAGTACAGATTATTTCACCTACTACCTAAAATTATCTCTTATATCCCCAGTGATATGTATTTCTCACAATGGGAAACATTCACATAGGGAATGTGGGAGGAAAAGCAGCAAACAACTGCTTAATTGATAATTCTTTTAAAGTAAGGGAAAAGTGGCAGAAGACAGGAGTTAATGAGTAGGAGAAATTTGCATTAATATAGTCTGTGTTTGATACTCTATATGGAAGTCTATATGGAAATTTTTTTTTTTTTTGGCTGCACTTCCCTGCTTGCGGGATCTTAGTTCCCTGACCAGGGATTGAACCCGGGCCCTCGGCAGTGAAAGAACAGAGTTCTAACCACTGGACTGCCAAGGAATTCCGTGGAGTTGTTCTTTGGAACCATTTAAAGACCACATCTTTGAAGGTCTGGGGAGAATAAATGGACCAATAGGATGAAAGAGCCCCAGTTGGCCAGAGTAGCAGTAACTTTCATCAACATTTGTGGGTTGCCACCCTAAGATTACCAAGGTTAAGTGAAACCAGCAGTTGTCTTTTGTCATCCCTTTTATATATAGAGGAACGCTTTCTTGAGAATTTTCTCATTCATTTTTATTTTAAGGATTTTTTTTTTTTGGCCACACTGCACCGCATGTGGGATGTCAGTTCCCCAACCAGGGATTGAACCCGTGCCCACTGCGGTGGAAGCATGGGGTCCTAACCACTGGACTGCCAGGGAAGTCCCTAAGGATATTTATTTTGGATAGATGTTGATGTCCTTCTCCTTCCCCCCTTTACAGGCAGACTTCCTTCCATTGCAAACTTAAAGCTGTAGGGAAGTTTCAGAAAAGTTGTTTATAGTGTTATAGTGTGATTCATCTTTTTTGCAGGACTAATTATATCAGCTATTCTCAAAGTGAGGTCTGGGACTCTCTGAGAACTTTTCAGGGAGTCTGCCAGGTGAAAACTATTTCCATAATAATATTAAGATGTTTTTTGCCTTCTTTACTCTCGTTCATGAGTGTACAGTGGAATTTTCCAGAAGCTATGTGAAGTGTGATGATGTCATCACTCTAAAGGCTAATGGAATGT